AGTTTTTTTGGGCCTTTAAACAATATTTCATATTGTTATTTAAAAAGTTGATCCAAATTCTATTTAGAGTTCGGATCGGTTGTTTGTTTAATTCATATATGGAGTTTCATAACTCTAATTAATACAAGTCTAAGCTCATGGGATATTTAGGAGGCATACATAAAACTCTTATGAAGGGCTTTAGTCCAAACTAGGTAGGTATGATGGAGGAATTTAGCTACAAATTTAGAATCCTAAGGTTGGACGGACAAGTTAAGTTAGTGGCTATATTTAGCTCATAATGGAAGCTATGGATCTCAAATTGATGCAAGATTTAATTAGTTAAAAAGATATGAAATAGATACAACTTTGGTGGTTTTTTTTTTTTTAAAAAAAACTCTAATTTGGCATGTATCAAGCCTATTCAAGTCATTACTCAAAAGAACTCATACAATTATGAGCGAAGTTTCGCCCATATGTGATGAAGTAACAAAGATGTACGACTATGTGTCTAGCTGCGGATCAAGTTTACAGCGAGTGTGTCATAACACATATGGTGATGTGTGTGTTTTCCCCTCACTTTATGTATCATTTTATCTATTTATTTAGGTTTGAAAGGAGGTCATAGATAGTTAGTTGGGAGAGAGAATAGACTATATTCTTATTTATTTTGAGTTCTCTAATTAGCATGTATGGCTAAATTATTTGGATCAGTTCAAGTTGATTTCAAAACATGGCTTCAAAATTTTTGTCAATGAAAACATACAACGACAACTCAATCAATTATCATTCAAACAATCCAATACCCCGATGACATGTCTTAAAAAGGCACAAATCCATCATAAAATCTCATACGAATATTAATCTTAGGAAATCCACTCTTGGTCGAATATGGCCACACTATACACATCACACACAAAATCATTTTCAAGCAATTTCACATCCATTTATCCCTAAACATACATATTTATTATAATCCATCACAACTTAAAGCATTAGAAAAAAATTTAAATATTCCTCTCTTAGTTGAATGTTTCATCCATTCAACTAAAAGAAAATTTCCTCAATCATTCTATCTATACGTGTCATCTTATCATGTTTGAGTCTAATCTTTCATGAAATTCATATAACTAGCCTTAGGTTAATTAGGATTACTTGGTCAAATCTACTTCCTAATTAATCCATTTAAAGATGCATCGATGCAATTATGGAAAATATATTAAGTTAGTTTAACATATGAATGGCTTTTGCTTTATACACTTGTTAGTTTTAATCCAAGGATGAAAATAAAATGGTATAAGATGTTTATAAATGATTTAGGTTGTGAAAAATATATTAGTTAGAAATGATAAAGTTTAGGAAACCTTGAATTTTAAACTAAATAAGGAAATTTCATTGTATAATATGATAGAGACCTAGGGTAAAGAATAAAATACATTACCTTATACTCTTGGGTGTGAGATAGTGCAGTAGCACTCTCGGATCCTTGTTAAGCCGGGGATGTTACATGTATGGCTAAATTATTTGTATCAACTCAAGAAGTTTTCAAAATATAGATTCACAATTTTCATCAACAAAAACATACAAAAAAAAAAACTCAATTAATTATCATTCAAACAATATAAAACCCCAATGATAAGTCACAAAAAGGCATGAATTCATCATAAAATCTTATACGAACATTAACCTTAGGGAATTCACTCTTGATCAAATACGACAACACCCATACATTTCGGACACAAAATCATTTTTAAGCCATTTCACATCCATTTATCCATATACATATATATTCATCATAATCCATCACAACTTAAAGCATTAGGCAAACAATTCAAATATTTCGCTCTTGATTGAATGTTTCATCCATTCAACTAAGAGAAATTTTCCTGAATCATTCATTCTATACAAGTCATCTTATCATGTTCAAGCTTAATCTTCTATGAAATTCATATAACTAGTCTTTAGGTTTATTAGGGTTAACGACTAAATCTACTTCCTATTTAATCCATCCTAATTCCTTGTTTCAATGCTTCTAACTTCAACTAACCAATGTTAAAGGTACTAAATCCCATAGCTTAACCATCCAAACTAACAATCCCTCACATTTGTGACTTGGCCGAATGGCTCTATACCTAACGACCAAGTAGATTTCTTCACAATTACCCCTAAATCATCCTCATTTAATCTCCCTTAAACACCATTTAAAAATATATGTTTCACTCGAGTTTCCTTGTTGGCCAAATCCATCAAGCCTAACTAGCTATTCAATTCCATCAATTTCTTCTTTAGTTTCATGCCGAAACATGTTTTACACATTTAATCAAACACCTAAGTTGCTTTAATTTTCTACAAAACTATTCTCCCTAATTTGTTTTAATCTTGGCCGAATGATTTATCCCAATGAACCCATTCTTTAAGCTCCTCTTTTTCCCATTCAATCATCAAATCATGATCATCAATTCACCAAGCATGCCAATGAACATTCAATTACTCAAATCACATACAATCACACTATTTAAGCATAAGCCATAATTTTCAATTCACAACAAAACAATAATTAATCAATCAAAGCATTAAACCACTTGTAGTTTAGGTGAGATTACACTTACCTAATTATCCTTGATGCTTAGTTTTACTTGAAACTTGCAAAATCTTTCCTCCTTCTTCCTCTTGGTTTCAGCCAAGGCTCTATTTCTTCATTCTCTTTATGCCTACTTCCCTGTGCCTTCCAATATGGTTTTATGGCTGGATTAGTGTTGATTTTAGGTAGAATTTGGATAAGGTTAACTTAATTTCTTCTATCACTCTCTAATTCTCACCTTAGTTTCCTCCTAGCTTTGTTTGTTCATCAATCCTTAATTTTCTTTTCTTCAATTGGGTGAATATATATAGAGGGGGAAGGAGAAGAATTTCAATTCCTTAGTTATGTTATAACCCTCTAGATCCTTCCTTGAACCTTCCTTCTTCCTTCCCTTATATTTCTTCCCTCTTTCTCTTGTGTTTAGCCAACTGATCCAGCTCTAGAATTTCAGTTTCTAAACTGAAATTTCTAGTCAAGTTCCAGCCAAATGGTTGGTTCAAATGCTCCTCCATTTTGCAATGTTTATCACTTTAGTCCTTGACCTTTTATAATTCAATCCAATCATACCCCTCCAATTTCGGTTTCCCTCCTCTAATTTTTACATTTCTCTCCTTTAACACTATTCCTAGATTAATTTGGGTCACTTGCCATCCTCCTTTATTTAATTTTAATTGTCCAAGCCTTTACCCTTTGTAATTGCCTCCCTAAAAATAATCTAATTAAGCACCCAAAACTTAATTATTATCCAAGAATGAATTTTCCATTGTCACCAAATAATTTCCTATTTATTTTCTTCTTGTTTTCTAATAGTTATGTGTATATAAATAATATTTTATTCACATAATAATATTAATTCAAACATTTAACTTAACTATTTACTTCATAATTAAATATTTAGACATTAATAAAAATATTCCCCCTTCCACACATACATATATAATTATTTAGGAGATTTTGATCAAGGATATTATAGCTGCTCCAAGTTATCTCCCTGCCCATTATTTTGAAACCAAATATCCGTCAGGCAAAGTTAGAGAATACAATTTTACTGATGGTGGTGTGGCAGCAAATAATCCAGTATGTTTTTGAATATTTATTGATCTTCAGCCACTTGAACAGGTACAACAAAAGAATCTTAATTATTCTTTATTTCTTTTTGGATTTTTGACAGACTTTAGTTGTCATAAGTGAAGTTCCAAAAGAAATCAATCGCCAGAGTCGTGATTCCTATCCAATGGAACATGACCGATTTCTAGTCCAGTCATAAGGGACCGGTACAGCAAAATCCGAAGAAAAATATGATGCAGAAGAAGCAGCTAATTGGGGTATTTTAGGATGGTTGAATAGTAATCACTCTACTCCATTAGTGGATGTGTTTACAAAAGCTAGTGCTGATATGGTTGATTTCCATATTTGCACTATTTTCCAAGCCCTGCACTCAGAAGAAAATTATCTTTGAATTAAGGTGCATATCGTTCTCATATCTTTGTTATATGCAACCTAATTATACTAAAAAAGGCATGATCTGACATTATTATATGCAGGATGATACATTGATTGGAACACTTTCATCTTTGGATATTGCGACAAAAGAGAATTTGGCGAATCTCGTGAAGAAACCAGTATCAAGAGTGAATTTAAACACTGGGGCCTTTGAACCTATTAAGTATAAGATGACATATGAAGAGGCTCTCATAGGGTTCCATATATACTACTTGTAGCAGATATTCCAACAACAGTTTTCATGATCTTGTTGTTATTTATTTATTTATTTATTTTATTGTCTTTTTTGTTTGATTTTTGTAAGTTGGCCAAATTACTCTCAAAGGAAAAGCATCTTCGTGAAGCTAGGTCACCATCTGGAAAAGCTGCTACTTCAAAATTATGAACATGAAAATAATTACCCTAGTGGTACTGTAGTTTTATTTTTTTTATTTTTTTCAATCAGAATAAATGATAAAGAATCAAAATGTACGAGTATTTATGGATCTCTTTCTTTCTTACCTCCAAAGCTGTATCCTTCATATTTGTATTGTTATTTGTTGAATCTTAATTAATACGACACAACTTTTGTTAAGATATATTTGTTAAATGTTGGATGTTTATCAATCATGGGAAAAGTTGAAGTTTTGACATTTGATCAGACGAGCTGCATGTTAGTATATGCAATACAAGAAGCCAAAAAGAATACTATAACTATAATGTGTATAAGGCTTGCAGGTGAGACTTCACATGAGTTGTAGGTTAGAATTATTAGGTGATCATCCAGGCGAGAATAGAACATGTTTGGCCTCATTGATATTGCGGTCATTTAAATAAACTTGAAACCTTTCAACTTGCTCTTCAATAAGCATTATGACATCTGTCTTTTCTCGGATTTAACAATTTGTTCATGTATCTTTTTCCCAACACATATGAAGTACTGTTACGTGTGCATAAATCAGGAAATTGAAGCAGTTGCAACCCAGCTAGACCCCTGTAACTCTATTTGCAACCTTAAACACATCATGATCCTCATAAAAGCTATCTTCTTTAATTCGTATGCAGGAAGGTTTTTTTTTTTTTTTTTTCAGCTCTTCCGAGTTTTGTCTGTTTGCATTGAATTGATATCTTTCAACGAATTTATTTGTTGTTGATATAATAATTAGCATCCAATGAACATCTGGTAATGAATATAGACAGAAATAATAAAGAATTTTGGTCTCAAATAAAGAGAGAGATTGTACATTATGTTTGAGAGAGACTGAGAGAGAAAGACAACGAGAATGGGAGGTTTTTTATTGGGTTTTTTTGGTCTGACAATTCTAACGAAAAGCGTTTATTTGATGATGCTAAGTATATGGTTAACGACTATATTAATATCAAGTTAATAAAATTAAAAAAAAAACAATAGAATAGCCAAAAATAAAAATAATAAAAATAAAAATTAGTAGCTTTAAATAGAAAAAATACTTTATACATTTAAACAGAAAAAAGTTTTTTAAAAAATTATACATCAAATATATAATAATTTAAAAAAAAAATACAAGAACCTAAGAGAAGAGTACGTGTTAGCTTGGTTGGTGAGAGTATACCTGATTCTGTGCGGGATTTGAGGGCTTTTAAGCGGTGGTTTTGGGTCTGTATGGCCTGAAGCGACAGTTAAAATTTGTTAAAATAGAAATGGCGGGTGTAATTGGGGATTGAGAGAGATGATAATTCATAAGGTAGTTTGGGCCTTAATGAACTTCATTTGAGCTTTGAGATGAGCTCACTGTTCAAGCCCAACCCAACAGTTCCCTACCACAAGAAATAGGATTTGTTAATGGTGATGGTGTTAAATATATATATGTATATATACACACGATATTTCTTTAAGAAGATAAGGAGGGAACATCAGCTAGGACTACGTCCCTGACACAAAGGGGACATAGACCTGCTCATCAGAGTTACATCTAGGTAAATCAGCTACTTTATGAACAACCTTATTATTTACACGTTTAACATAGGTAAAAATAAAATGGTGAGATAATACTATGTAGAGTTCTGGATTTATCTTTGGCCTCATTGATATTACGGTCATTTAAATAAACTTGAAACCTTTCAACTTGCTCTTAAATAGGCATTAGGACATCTGTCTTCTCTCCGATTTAACAATTTGTTCATATATCTCTTTCCCACTACATATGAAGCACTCTCACGCGTGCATAAATCAGGAAAATTGTAGCAGGTGAAACCCAACTATTTGCAACCTTAAACACATCAAAAAAAAAAAAAAAACCTATCTTCTTTAATTGGTTTGGCAGGAAAGTAATTTTTATTTTATTTTTTTTCAGTTCTGCCGAGTTTTGTCTGTTTGCCTTGAATTGATCTATTTCAATGCAAAATTGGTTGTGTCTAGTGAGTTTTCATTATTTTTTGAGGTACTAGTTTCTTCCTTTTTATTTTTCTCTTGGTGGGTTGCTTAGTATAAAAATAAAAAATAATTGGTAAAGTAAGCTCCCGTAGAGGTTGTGAAAAGGTCATCTTTTTGTTAGCATTGGTACCAGGAGAATTTATTTGTTTTCGATATAATAATTAGCATTCAATGAACATCTGTTAATGAATAGAGGAGACTGAGAGATATTTTACATTATGTTTGAGAGAGACTGAGAGAGAAAGACAAAGAGAATGGGAGGTTTTTTATTGGGTTTTTTTGGTCTGACCGTTCTAACGAAAAGCGTTTATTTGATTATGCTATAGTTAACGACTATATTAATATCAAGTTAATAAATTTTTTTAAAAAATTAGGATAGCAGAAACAAATTAAAAATTAGTAGCTTTAAATAGAAAAAACAATAGTTTATACATTTAAACAGAAAAAAGTTAAAAAAAAAAATTGTACATCAAATACATAATAATTAAAAAAAAATACAAGAACCTAAGGTAAGAGTACATGTAAGCTTGGTTGGTGAGAGTATACCTGATTCTGCGAGGGATTTGAGGGCTTTTAAGCGTGTAATTGGGGATTGAGAGAGATGATAATTCACAAGGTAGTTTGGGCCATCAATGGACTTCATTTGAGCTTTGAGATGAGCTCACTGTTCAAGCCCAACCCAACAGTTCCCTACCACAAGAAATAGGATTTGTTATGGTGGTGTCATATATATTGCCGATCAGGATATTTTTATACTAGGTTTCGGAAAGTCTGATTTTTTTTTAAAAAAAATAATGTGATATTTCTTTGAGAAGATGAGGGAACATCAGAGTTAAATCTTGCTAAATTAGCTACTTTATGAACAACCTTATTGTTTACACGTTTGTTTAACATAGGTAAAAATAAAATGGTGAGAAAAGACTATGTAGAGCCCTGGATTTAACATAGGTAAAAGTAGAAGAGTGAAAAAAAGACTAGCTAGAGCTCTTATATGAAGAGCAATAGAAGATAAATAAGAATCATCTTTTACATCTGAAAGTATCTAATGAATGAGGCTAATACAATCCGATTCTAAACAAACTTTTGCGAATCTCAATTCAATAGCATGTTGAATACCATAAATCGTAGCAAGAACTTCGCCTATGTCCATGGAGAACTATACCTTGATGCAGACCTTTGTGAGCAGAGAACATAATTTGCACAATAGAGTTTCTGGCCATAACACCAAGTCCACTGATATTGTTGCGAAGAGAAACATCCACGTTGATTTTGATCACATCACCAAGTGGAGGAGTCCAACGAGTAGTCTCTTGGGTGTGAGAGTGAGGAGTTGAACTGGCCTCCAATTGATTACCAGTACTTAAGTAAGAAAGAGTTGACCTAGCAATTTGCAAAACACTCGACACATTAATCTCCCTATGCTAGAAATATAAATAATTTCTAGCGTACCAGATACTCCAAGCTAATATAATGGAGAATTCAATGGCTGAATCATCAAGAGACAGTAAAGAGTAGAAAATCATTACTAGAAAGAAGTCGACGTGAGAACAAAATCAGCTTCTAAATTATTCATCGACTCCCATACTTTCTTTGCAAAAGGGTAGCTACATAGAATATGATTAATATGCTTAGAGTGAAAGCCATATTTGCTACAAGGTTGATCAGTAGACATCCCATGTTTTACTAGATTTTTGAACGTGGGGGAGAATGTCATTGAGTGCTCGCCAACAGAAATGCCTGACTTTAAGAGGCACATTCAGCTGCCACAACCTCTCTCATACCCATTTCTCAATATCAGTTTGCCCACTTGATGGTTCTTTATTGTTTCTGATTAAGTCTAAGACCACATAATAAGCACTCCGAATAGAGAATTTATCATTTTTTTTAGTTGATGCCAAACAATTATATCATGAGGAAGACAAAAACATAGGGGAATTTGAGTAACTTAAACTGCTTCAAATATCATAAATATTTGGTGAATAAGATCAGTTTTTCATGAGCTGGTCTCCTTGTTAATGAGCATGTCGCCAGTTCCATATTCATGTAGCAGATGAGGAGGGAGGGCATGGCTTATTGCCGTGCTGCAAGGGAAGCTATTTGTCGTGCCATATGCTGATTTTACTACCAGTCACCACATTTCATCTTGCACTTGCATCAACAATGGTTATTCCTTGTAAAACACTTTGACAAGAGTAACTAGTAGAGGCCCCTCTTAGTAACATAGCTAAGCGAGAAGGCTGAAAGCATTTTGCTGTGAGAAGGTTGACGAGCAGTGAAGATTGATCATTAACGATCCTCCAAGCCTGTTTAGCCAAAATAACAAGATTAAAAGACTGGAAATATCTAAAGCCCAAACCCTCTGACTGTTTTGAAGAGCACAAACGAGATCATTTTAGCCAATGGATACGTCTCTCCTCTAAATTATTGACCCCGCCAAAATAAAGAGATTACTGAATTAAGATCATCACATAGACCACGAGGAAGAAGAAGCAACCCATAACGTATGTAGGGATAGATTGAGCCACTATGAAGGATATTTCTTTTAACAATGAAATATTTGTAGGTAAATCCGGACATTAAAAATAACAATGAATTAGCAATTCTATCGCTATTTTTTCTAGTAAATTCATCACTAAATTGTTATTAAAACTTTTTGAAATATTTTGCTATCAAATTCAGCAATGGATTGGTATCCGTCGCTAATAAACTATCACTAATCCATTATTATTTCATTGCTGGCTCCAACGGACGTTATTATGTCGTCATTTACTTGCTATTTAGTGATGAAAGTTGATCGATTGCTATTTTCTATGCTATTTAAGGGTTTCCCTTGTAATGCTCGTCTCTCTACTATAGTAATGTTGATCACTAATCATTAATCTATATTAATTTGTACAAATAAAGTAAAATCAAAAACCTAAATCCACAACCATATGGTAAAGTTAAAAATGAGTTCACCAACGTAAGCAAGTATAGTTCGAGTAATCATATAAATGATAGTTTTTTTTTTTTCTTTGGAGTAAGTTCAAATCCTAATATCTCAAGTTTATTTGATTATTATATAATAGAGGAGAGTTACATATGGTCAAATAATATATCTTATATTGAATTGTTAAATAAAAAATAATTATTATATAAAGTTAAGAAGGAGTCATCCACCACAAGACTTAAGTCTTTTGAAAGAAATCCAATTTCAACTATCTAACTCTATATTGTATCAAAAATTTAAGGATACTAAACATCTTAACAAAGATTCTGGAGTACAATCCACTTGATAGATCCCCAAAAATAGACTACAAGTGAGGGAAAATATTAAAAAACAAATCGACATTGAATAATTAAACTAAAAATGATTAATATATAAAGATGAGAAGATGCCACACCATAAATTTTAAATCTTTTGATTGGAATACAATATCAATTATCTAACTCAATAAAGGCTTAAGTCTTTCTGGATGAAACTTACTCTCAATTATCCAATTGTATATGACATCGAGCTTTAAAGACGCCTAATCCCCTCGTAAAGATCTTAGAATCCAAACTATTTGACAAATCTTAAAAAATGAACTACAAGTGAAAAAGTGTTAAAAAATATATCCCACTTTGAAAGGATAAACAAATCTCACATTGAAAAAATAATAAAAGATGAGTAATATATAAAGTTGAGAATGAACTCAATTTCATCTATTAAACTCTATACATACCATTGTAAAGCACGAGACCCATAAACTTACAAATAAACAAAAAATAATACTAATAATAATAGTAACAATAAGTTCACCCAAAAGCACAGGAACATTAAGAATACGGCACCAAAACAAGATCATGGTGGCAGTAAGTAAACCAGCAAAGTACACAGAAATAATTATCATCACTCATACATGGATAAAAAAGTGACACACTACGGATACTAGCTATGCCTTCCAAGCTAGCTGTTGGCAGGTATAAGGAAAACCCAGATTACTCATTCATCATTTGACTCGGTACTCATACCACCCCCTCCTTCTCCGTCATATCATGGTGGTCCGCCAGGTCCGCAGCACCTATGACTATTAGGGTTGCAATGGTTGCAACTATTTTCAGTCCGTATTGCCCTCGCTGGCATTATTCGGTTGGAACATGACAGAAAAATGATGATAAGAAAGAGTATTGTTGTCAAGTATTGATTCTTTCGTTGAGACCACATGTTTGATACGAGAGAAAAAAAAAAAAAAAAAAAGAGTCTGAGACTCTTAGGTATTAAAAAGCCGAGAGCTATCTAGTTTGAGATGGGTGGTGGTAAAGATGGAGTGGTTAGCTAGCTGTGTGATATATATACACATACAAGAAAAAATGAAATATGTTATCTAAGGGACAATATGCTGATTTGGAAACGTACAAGTAAAGGCATATAATTTGACTTCAGAAATTCAGTAGTCATTGGCAGGACGTACTTTACTCGAAATAGCTTCTTAAGAGAGAGATTGTCGATTTTCATGAATTAAAGATGGTTAGAGATAAGATCTGATTATACGATAATAATTTATTGGTTGCTGAGATTACATTATCTTTTTTTAACCAATCAGATTTGCAAAACAAAAGAATAATAATAAAAAAAAAGAAATAAAATCTAATGGCTGTAAAAGAAAAAGATGAAGGATCAATAAGTGGGAGATAAAAACAATAACAATAAGCCTGCGTCTACAGCAGATTGAGTCTAGATGAACAATACAGTAAACACTTCATATGTTTTAGTTTTTTTAGCAATTAGTTTCTTTGAAGCAGTTGTGTGACTTGTGATGGTTGTTGAAATAAACATTCAATGAGATCAGTTGCGTATGATAGTTTCTTTTTGAAGTAGTCAAATGCTTATCATTATTTTTATATTATATTTACTTTTCGATCCAGTGGCTTTCTTGCTACCCTCTATGACTGATTCTTATAATAAGTATAACATGTTAATTTGTTATGTCAATCGTTGTAATCCAAACAAACAGATATAGTTTTGCATAGCGTTATGGACTAAAATTCAATCAAAATCTGTTGAATTAAAAGGCACCTTATATATAATAAGTTTTTACTTTCTCAATTGGATGAGCACCGAATCACAATTAATCTTAGGTGAATTTTAAAAATTAAACTTTTTGAGTCTACCATTAATTCATGTATAGTGTCACTCGAGAAGGAAGGAGGAAAAAAAAAAAAAAGCGTTTTTGAAGAATGAAAATCCAACTTTTGATCTAATAAAAAAAAAAAAAAATTACCCCTCCACCATTTATTCCATTATATACAAAGTTTCCTACAGCTTTCAATTTCCAAGGTCATCAACCACTCTGATCAACGGCCATGCACACAAACTGACAGCAATGCAGTATTGGAAGCGACGTGCCAACTTTTACTTCAACTTTTTTGTTTTGTTTTGTTTTTGCTGTGTGTTATTATGGGATTGAAAATTACACAATCTTGCCCTACTTTATTTGTTTATTCATGAAAAATCACAGGTTGATATTAGCTTTTACTGCAATAGGACAAATCACAGGTTGAGAAATTTAACTAATTGGAATAATATAGTGGAGGCATGTAGTTAAAGTTTCTTTTTCATTTTGAAAATGAGGTATGTAGTTGAAGTTAACTATTAGGAATTCAAAGGACTAATAAATTCGA